TACTGAATTTGTTTCTTAGTTCTAGTAGTTTTGGGTAGAATCTTCACAGTTTTCTATATAATATTACATCCTTTGCAAACAGACACTTTTTAACTTACTCTTTTCTGATTTGGATGCCTTTTATTCCTTTTTCTTGCCTAATTGCTCTGCCCAGGATTTCTAGAACTATGTTGCCTATAAGTGGTGAGAGTGGGCACCCTTGTTTACCTTTGTTTCTGACCTTAGAGGAAAAGCTTTGAGCTTTTCACCACTGGGTATGATGTTAGCTGTGGGCTTGTCATATATGGCCTTTCTTATGTTGGGGTAAGTTCCTTCTTTACCTCATTTGTTGTGAGTTTGTATCACGAAAGGACACAGAATTTTATCAAATGCTTCTTCTGCATCTATTGAGATGATCTTCTGTTTTTTATTCTTTATTCTGTTAATGTGGTGTATCATGCTTATTGATTTGTGTATGTTGAACTATCTTTGCATCCCAGGGAGAAATCCCACTTGATCCTGGTATATGATCCTTTTAATGTGCTGTTAAATTCAGTTAAGTTCTTTTTCTATTTCTGTGAAAATGTCATTGGAATTTTGATAGGGCTGGCTTTGAATATGTAGATGGCTTTGGATAGCATTGACATTTTACCCACACCTATAAGTTATCACCTACAATTTCTAGTTACAGTTTTTTCAAGTTAAAAACTGAAAGTCACTTGCAAAATATCTGACTGCAGAATCCTACTAGAGTTTTGTAATTTTCTTCTCAATCTTTTAGGGCTGTCTTGTTTTCACTTAGTTCAGAGGCAATTATGTTTTAGTGGTTCAGCTTTATCAAGTCTTTCAAAACATTTAACACAGCTGTCACCTTTTTTTGCTCATGTTTTACTAGTTCATATAATATTACAGTTTATTCTATTAAATGACATAATTACAATAGCAAACAAAAAAGTCATAAGTAGGTTTGGGAATAGACACAACCGATAAGCCAACAGCTGAATTAGTGGGAACAAATGAGGATCATTGGTTAATTTGACAAGTTGGTTAAGTAAAGGTTGGTAGGGAAAGCTTTGCTTGTGTGTGATATGGCAGAGAAGGGCCATATATTCATATACCTACTTATGGCTAATGTTATACCCATCTTTTATATGGATTAATTGATCATTCATGTCAGAGACACATTATTTACTCTCTTTGGATATCCCACGCTATATTTTACATGTAGTTGGTGCTTAATATATTCAGATCATATACAGAGCTGATGTTTCTCTTGTCTCTCCTCCACTCAATGAGGCTGTATTCCTTTTCAGTTATTGAAATCAAAATACAGTAGAAATCTAACTTAAGTTCTTCCTGGTCCTCATAGACTTTCCCCAGGATTCCAGGTCACATTGACCCATTCAAATCTAGTTCTTGAAATAGGCTATTTTGCACTGGCTTCCTCCTTATCCTTAGATCTATTATCTCTTAATTAGATTATAAACTCCCTGAGAATGAAACTATGTTTATAGTTCCTGCAGCTTCCCAGAATATCGTTTCTGTGATGGATGCCTGGTTAATAATCATTAATCACTTGCCAGTGGAGTAGCCTCAGGCAGCCACTTACTGGGTCTGATAATACCAGAAAAATGATTGCCCACTAAGGTTGAAATTGGCAGGAGAGGAGGCGGTCAAAATGCGACAAAACACAAGAAAAATATACTCCCCAGTGTTTCTAGGACTTTAAATAAATTATTTTCCTTCAGTGTCCTCACAGGTAGAATGAGAGACTGGACTAGATCAGTGACTCAAAGGTTTTGGGATCATGATTATCTTTGAGACTCTGATAAAAAGCTAAGGACAATTTACTTAGAAAAAGAAAAGGATGTTCACACATAAAATCTTGCATGTAATATCTTAGAGCCCTCAGACATTTAGACCAAGTGATCTCTAAGATTCCTGCTCACCAGACTGGACTTTAACATTGCCAGTGATCGTGCTTCTTCCCACCAAAATGAACCAGTGAGTCTTGATTACTTGAATCAGCTAATTGGATTTCCCATAGCCACTGCTGACTGCATTGTATCTGCCCCACTGGAACTCCCTCAGCTCTCCACCTTCTAAAGGTCTTCCACTGATCTCCCGACATGCAGGATGCCCAACCCAGCCCTGTCCCACTATTTGGAAAAGGGCTTAAAGAGCCTGCTGTGCTGGTGGCTGCCCATCTTTAACTGGGCTGGCAGCACATTCTTAGTTCACTCCTCCTAATGCCTTTTCATTGTTGGGGAAATTGGCAGGCTGGTGTTGCTATGGTGATTTGACTGACAACTTTGTAGTTAAGATAAAATGATTTTCTTGAGTGGAAAAAGATAAAGCTATTGTTTGAGGAGGATCTAAGACAACGCTTTTGCCTGGCTATCTCTCTCTCAACCTCACCTTTGCACCTTTGTACCTTAAGAGACTGAACAACATTTAAATGCAAAACCCATGACAAAATCAGAGGCAAAATATTAAAGGTTTTGAACTGGTTTTCAATCCGCATGAGCTTTCCCCTCTCACTCGGTACAGTGAAATTAAATGTTAATGATTTCAATCCTTGTTCACTGAAAATATAGCTTTCTTTCCTGCGTTAAATGAACAAATACAAAATGATTTCCATTTTTGTGGGGGCTGGAAAGGAGCTGTAGTTTTTACATGAAGATTGTTGCTGATATTTGCAGGTAGCCTTGGGTAAACAATGGCACGTTCCCAGAGCAGTTACCAGTCACTTCCTCTATAAATGCCGCAAGGGAAGCTTAGCAGAGGATAATAGGAGAGTTTTATCTAAAGATCACATCTTCTCTCCCTTGACTTTTAGGTGTCCCCTGTGGCTTTCCTCTGTGAAGTGATTTTGTTCTAATTTGAGTTTGTAAATGTGTTTCCTTCCACCCCGCACTGAGGTTTTCGCACTGAGGTTTTCTCTTCGATGACAAAGTTAGTTTACACAAGAAGTCCATCTTTAGGGAAAGGATATCAAAAAAAGAGAAAGGAGCCCTACTTCCTCCAGAGGGCATACCCTGTGACCTCTGCTTCTCCAAACACGTGAATTCTTATGAGCTACGCCCATGGGCCCACAGACTACTCACCGTGAGCCCGCGGAAGTGCCTTTTACTGGGCTTGAGGGCTGAAGGCCTCCATTTGACTTTCAACAATTCCTGCTAATGAAAAACTAGGTGAGCATATATTAAAGAAATCCGTGTATCATTCAGGCATCTCCTTTCAGCAGAATGAGTCTCTATTTCCTTGCCTGATAGGTTGTTCATAATGGAGAAACATCCATCTTTTTTGCGTCCTGCCTTCCTCTACATATCTGTGAGCAGAAGTGTTTAACAATAGAACAACTGAGAGGTGGTGAGGAAGCAACCTAAAAGATGGAGGAGAATAGCCCTTCAATCACTATCACCTCGATTTTTCATCCACTATCAAAGATCTTCTTAATCTAACCTTAACCCATCCACCCAAGTTGGACTCACCATTTATCAGCTGTGTGACCTTGGGCAAGTTACTTACCAGTTCTGTGCCTTAGTCTCCTCTGTAAAAAAAGAGGCAAGGGGTCTTTAATATTAGTATCTACTTCATAAAGGTAGACGTGAGAAGTAAATGAGTTCAAGTATTAGAACAATACTTGGTACTTCACAAGCACTTGATACTTGGTGGCTGTTATTAGGTATTAACTCAAAACCTCCACTCCAACTAGGCCATTCACACTGTCCCCCAGCCACCCATGATAATTCCCCAATTTCACCTTTCAGTTCTTATTACCTAGAATGCTTTCCTTTCTCCCTCTAAGAAGTCTACATAGAGCGACACTGTCCGGTAGAAACACAGTGCAAGCCTATAGGAAATTTGAAGTTTTCTGATAGCGGCATTAAAAAGCTAATAAGAAGCAAGTGAAATTAATTTTAATAATATATATATATTAACCTACTGAATCCAAAATATGGTCATTTCAACATGTAATCAATGAGGTCTTTTTACATTCTTTTTTTTTTTTCTTTAAAATCCAGTGCACTCTTTACTCTTCTGGCACATCCCAATTCAGACTAGCCACATTTCCGGTGCTGATTAGCCACAAAGGGTAGTGCTGCTGCATTGGGGCCACAGGTAGAGAGTGAGGAGGTGGCCCAGGGCCGCCTCCTGGCTCTGTGATGTGGTCAGTCCCTTAGATCCTGGCTAACCCACACCGAGTGTTTACAATATGACGCCAGGCACTATGCTGAGGATACATATCTCATTTAATCTTTATGACAGCCCTGTCAGATAGGTACTTCTATTACCCCCATTTTACAGATGAGAAAATAGAGACTTCACCAAGTTCAAGAGCAGCTGGGAAATAGTAGAGGCGGGATTTCAGCGGCTCTGTCCGACTCTAGAGCTTGTACTCAACGCTCTCTGCGTATTGCCTCCCAATATGAGCTCGAAGTGAAGGGCTCCATTCTCCACAGGGTTCTTAGAAGGACGTGTGAAAATTCAGCAAGTTGCACAATTTTGTTCAGAGTAAGAATGGCCACGGACAGAATCTTCTTGGGTTTTCCCATGGCAATTCGTGCAATTAGTTACCCTATAAAACTTATATTTGTTTATTTTGTGAACAGATTGTGAATGGATGGAATCTGTGCTCTCTTGACCTCTGAGAACGGGGACTGTCAGGGGAAGGCTTGTTTACAAAACATCTGGAAGGCAGCGTCCTTGAAAATGAACTCCTACGTGGGGATCTTTGCACCGTAGTTAAGTCCGTGCGAGGAAAAGCAGATGATCTTTAAGCAGTGCTTAAAACTGGTCCTAAAAATAATCTACTTGCTTTTATTGGCAGGGACGTAAAGATTCTGACCTACGATTTAGAATCAAGATGACTTTTATATAGGAGATGTTAACCCATTTTTATGTTCAAATGTTCCAGAGTTCAAATGTTGTTAGTTTACACAGCCAGCGAGTTTCCTTTCCCTCTGCTGTTCCTGAACTGCTGCTTCTTGTTTGGTTTTGTTTTTTAATCAATAAAGGCCAGATTTTGACAAGAGTTGGACCTTATTCCAAGAACGGATCCAGATGGACTCCATGGTCATCAAGGGCCTCGATCCGGATACCAATTACCAGTTTGCTGTGCGGGCCGTGAATCCCCATGGCCCCAGCCCCCGCAGCCGGCCCAGCGACACCGTCCGAACCTTCCGTGAGTACCACGGCCCTCCTGAAGGGCTGGGGGGGGGGGGGGGGAGCTGCATTGCTGGAGTTCGTGCATCAGGACCCCATGAATGACTGGGGTCTCAGTGCCCTGCAGAAGGACAGCCTGGAGTGGGCTCCCCTCAGCCCTTCCCGCTGCAGTTTTCCCAGCCCTGAGGAAGTTAGAAACCCTCGACAGGGCCACAGGCCATTTCTATGTCCAGGAAGTCAACAGAAGATTTATTTTTGCATCATCCTCAGGGAGTTTGAGGTCAGTTTTCTTTCACGATCACAGAACAGACCACATACCAAGATGTTGTGCAGCCTTCCCCCCTCACCCCCGCCCACTTTTTCATCTTTGGAGAAAATGGGTTCATCTTAGAATCATAGGGGAGAAAATAAGGCTCCTGGGCTCTTTGAGGTTGGTATCTACCTGCAAATGAAGGATGCTCAGGTAAACGGTCCCTCTGATTGGCATCAGGGAGGATCAAAGAGCTCATGGGTGTGCTGACGTCTAGCTGGGGGCCTAGCTGATGGCATAAGGTCCTTTCTGTCATAGCTCCTCTCTGGGGGGCTGGGGGGAGCTTGAGCCAGCGTCTATCAAATCACCTGGGGGTTTTGTAAAAAGTCAGATTCTGATTATGATCTGGGGTTTGAGAAGCTCCCTCATGATTCAAGAACCACACTTCAATTACTTAGACCACCTTGCCAACCCCGGCTTAGAAAATCTTTGTCTTTCGGAATTGGGGGGTACCTTTACAAAAACCTAGAGCCCTGTGTAGTGGGGAGATCTCAGATCTGAAATGTTGAGGCTTCTTTGTTTGAAGACTCTGTGACCTTTTCAGTTTTGCCAATAAATTCCTCCAGATTCCTGTGCAACCCCTGGGTCCTATTTACCCAGGAAAGGAGCTTTCAGAAAAGAAGCCTACCTAACACTGTCAGTTGGTTTTCTGTAGCCCGCACAGAGCCGTATTTTTATTTCTTAGTTGATCTGAATAAACTCCTTCCCTCTCCTCACAAACCAGCCACACAGTTGACTCCCAGGCCACGGCTGTTTCCAGGCGGGGAGACTCACCAAGTTCCCCAAGTCCTAGGAATTTGGGCTCTTCTGAAAACAACATTTACTCCAACCTTGAATGTCAGGGCTCCTTCCTTCAAATTGAATTGTTGGGGGATATGGGGTATGGTGAAGCCACACCCCACATACACACACCAACACACAAACCCTACATACACAATAACTACGATCACCCAGCAATTGCTTCACTTCTCTTCTTTAGAATTTAAAAACTGAAACTCCCCAGGCATATGGCAAAGGATGAAGCTCCTTCTTCCTAGAAGAAATGTTGAGGATTCTAATGTATTTCAAATCAAAGGAGGGCCTCCTTCTGCTCTTGCTGGATGAGATCTATGCTATAGTCTTTAGCTAGACTTTGTGATGTATGGCCCAAAGTTGGGGTGACAGTAGCTGGGGCAGGATCTGACGGTATTTTGAAAACACTAGTTTCTTTTTTTTTTTTTTTTTTGAGAAAGATTAGCCCTGAGCTAACATCCGCCGCCAATCCTCCTCTTTTCTCTGAGGAAGACTGGCCCTGAGCTAACATCTGTGCCCATCTACCTCTACTTTATATATGAGACGCCTGCCACAGCATGGCTTGACAAGTGGTGTGTAGGTCCGCACCCAGGATCCAAACAGGTGAACCCCAGGCTGCCGAAGCAGAGTGTGTGAACTTGACTGTGCCACCGGGCAGGCCCTGAAACACTAGTTTCTCTTTTCATATTACAAACTGAGCAAGCCCTCTGTGTTGTGGGCCCACCCTACACTTCCCCAACATCAACTCCTCTGCTCCCCTTTTGTGAGCAGCCCCATGCTCACCTTTGTCCTTCTATCCCTTTGTATCTCCTTCTCCACGGAGACAGGAAAGTGGAAGAAGGATGAGCTAGAACAACTCGTGCTGGCCCTGGACAGGGGTGCGGAGACTGGAGGCAGGGGAGGGGACGTGGATTGGGGCTTCTCTTGAACTTTTTCTTTTTAAACTGAACACTGGTCTGGTCTTGGAGTTTCTGATAAGTATTTCCCCATGGTCCACGTGGAGGCCAGCTTTGCGAATTAAGTGGGATGAAGCATGCAAAGGCGCTTTACAGATACGTCATGTCTCATCACAATTGATCTCCTGTGTGAAGTAAAATTTTGTCATTTCAAAGTAATTGCATGCAGGGGAGGTGGCTGATTCAGTGAAAACTCTCAATTATGGAATATTCCTAAATAAATATAATTTAACCACTTTTACGTATATATGGTTACTCAAATCAGAGTAACAGAAATAGAATTTATTAGATGGCCTGTTTCATGAATACGTAAGAATGTGCTTTAATTGGTATTTCAATTGTGGTTTTTTCTCGTGATCACTTCTAATGTTTTAGAAAACCCTATATTCTGGCACATTCACACTTCTTATTTTGCTGGGAGTTTAGACTATTAGCTCGCTTCCAAAACCCATTTTTCCATTTATAAAATTACCTAATTACAAAATAGCACTTATCTGAATTATACTAAATTCTAAATATCAGAACTACCATTGCGAAAGCTTTCATGAGCCAGGCTCTGTGCCGAGCGCTTTACTTAGGAAATCCCATATTAATCCCCACCAAACCCTGTGCTGGAGGAATAGTATCCCTTTTTATAGATTTTTTTTTTTAATTGCATCTTTGAAAGGTTATCTACTTTGCCAAGAATAATAACTGTAAAGGCAGGATTTGAACTTGGGTTTGGCTGACTGCAAAGCTACTTCCCAGAGGAAGATTCAAATTTCAACAGGTTCTTATTCACCTAAAGCAAAATAGCACGAGAACAGCAAGGTCAGCAATTCAATAAAGTACAGGGGACAGTCGATGTAGAATCTATGGACCAAAGAAGTTCTGACAGCACAAAACAAACTAGAAAGTTCCTTTCCCTTCTAAAACTTGGAAGGTATACTGTACATACAAAAATGTGAGTGAGCCATGCATGCAGGGCTGAAACTCGACCGGTAAAGCCCTGGGAACTTACAGCCGGCAGCCCTTCTGATTGGTTAGACCCAAACTGAGCCAGTTGGTAACTATTTTGAAGGCCTCCCTGAAGGAATGTGTGAGACCAGTATTTCTACAAGTTGGGCTGCCCCATTCTCATCACTCTTGCTCCTCCCACCTCAAGGTCCTTCCTACATGGGTGTTTTCTTGGTGTGATGCCCACTGTACTCCCTGAACAGCAAACTTCAGAACAGAATGTTCACGCTGACTGCTGAGGACCAGAGCATCCCAGGGGAACTCTGAGATCCCGCCCTGGAGACCGCCCCTCACTGGGCTCCTCTGTTGCTTCTTTTAGGCTTACATCCACCTCCTTTCATAAGGAAGGCTAACACTCCAGCCGATTAATGCCAGATCCTATTAGCAGCTTAACTGCTTAATGTGGCAGTTGGTGATCCTGGCCGCTCTTAGGTCTGTAGTTGCTGAAAGCCAGGGCCCAGCGTTGCCTTAACTGCTGCTCAGCCTGAGTGAGGAGGAAGGGGGATTTTGGTGGCTTCACTGAAGTGTTGCTCAATGTCCACATCTAACCTCAGCTCCACAATGTCACAAGTAAGGTGGGGAGAAAATATTCAGATGTCTTAGTGTCCAGGTCCTCTAATGAGAAATAGAGTCATTTCAGTGACCTTGAAAAATAATGATATTATATTTACTTCCATCCCCTCACCAGAGACTCAGCACACACATCAGTGCCTCTTCTGTTCCTGAGGGAAATACAAAGAAGACAAAGATTACAATCTCTCCCTCCTTACCCTTCCTATGTATTTTTTTCCTCAAGAAAGAAATACCAACAACATTAGAATTTGCCTTATTATTCCATAGTATTATTTTGGCCCTGTGTTGGATCTTATAAGTTGGCCAATCAGAACAGGGGATTCTGTAGAGCATCACAGACACGCATACACATGTGTGTCTTCGTAGGACATGCATTGGCCCATCTGGTGGTCACCTGTTAGCTGGGATCCAAGCTTAACTTGATCAAGAAGGATGGAATAAGTAATAAAGAATATGAACTACAAATAATAGAAATGGCAGAAGTCAAAAAGTATTTTCTTTCTTTCTGCCAAAGACAAATGAAATGAAATTAAAAATGACTCCCCTGTGTGACCAACTCTAGGATTCTGTAAGCTTCCCTGAGAATGCAGCTGGGTACTAGCATCCTCAACCATTTAATTTCTTGTGTCCTATCCTCATACTCCAAGGAGAGAAAGAACCAATCAGTTCATCACTGAACTGAAATGGGTGTCCTCTGGGCAGTTCCCAACAGAATGTGTTCTTTTGTTCCTAGTAAAAGTCATTCTGCACTTTCCTGCCTCAGGGCTTTTGCACCTGCTGTTTCCTCTGCCTGGAACTCTCTCTCCTCAGATCTTGCCATAACCACTCCCCTCATAACTCAGATAACACTTCCTCAGACAGGCTTCGCTGAACTTCACACTCACTCAGCCCCTTCTCTGCTTTATTTTCTCCACAGCCCTTCACTGCCTGAAACTCTTTCATTATCTGTATCTCCCCTCCAGTGTTCGCTCCATCCTGGAGTTGGAATGACTCATTCGAGGGTGCATTCTCAACATGCTGTACAAAGTAGATGCTCAATAAAGATTTACTGAGTACGCAAATGACTGAATGCGACTTAATAAGACAAGAGCCTGTGACTACTTTTTAGGCTGGATGCCTTTCTACTGCTGCTGTCAGGGAAATTCAAAGAGAAGATGGGAGGAGAAAGTTGGTCTAGAAACCCACCAGGCCAAAAGTGGGTTTCCCCATTGGCAAGGTTCACAGGCAAAGTGGAACTCCCAGAATTGTGATGTGACACAAATAAGAAAAAAGTTGACTAAAAGAGGAGAGGAAAGAAAGAAGGAAGGGAGAAAGCAAACCCAGGGAGTGTAAGTTCAAGGCAGTAAGGATGGAAAGGAGGCCTTTGAGAGAGATTCCAGTGATCGATTTGCT